GAAATCTGTGTGTACTTAACAAGTAGCAGTGATTGCAAAGTTGTGGCGTTATGGTTTATTAGTCAGTAAACACCACTTATCGCCCAGTGAAGCATGCACACCAACAAGAGGGCTCGGATTATCAGCTTAGACTCATGGCAGTCTCTTGGGCAAACAGTGTTATGTACTGTTTTTCAAATTGCTTAATGGTATATCTTATCTTACTAGTCAACTCTCACTTTATAGCACGGAGACCAACCTAAAATGCAATCCTTGCCTCAAAGCACTGAATTGTTATATGATTTCCTTCTGGTAAGCAGAGCAGTACAATGGGGGCGGGGTATAGGTTTAGCCTCAGACAGGCATGGGTTTAATTCTAGAATGGCTACATACTAACACAAATGCCTGTCTTGGGACAAGATCACTGAATCCTCTGAGCTGGTTTTTGCACTAGTGAACTGAGGAAAACAAATTCACCTTCCAGGGTTCTCATGCAGCTTAGATGAGGGAGAGTGTAGAATGTGTGCGACCCCATGAGGGCTTCCATCAGAGGACGTGGGGAGTGGCATTCCACGGTGACGGTGGCCAGTGTCAAGACACTCTGCCCGTCGTGTTCTGCCACCGTGACAGGGTACTCGCTTGTCTCGTCCAAGCTCTCATCCAGGAATGGTCATATGCAAATTCCTGTTCTCGCACCTAGATTTTCCTCTCTTCCTCCGTGTTTAAATTGCGGGACAGATGAACCGGGTACTCCGGTTCCTTGAAGACCTGCTGTTGTCACCAGTCCTTCTGCAGGAACCCTGAGCTGGTTTAGAATACCTTAAATGATTTGCATTCCCTAGAAGTCCTGCTGCTTCTTCAAGGAGAGCCTGGAGGTAGGAGGGCTTTCTGAGTCTTACTCTTTCTTTTATCGCAAAGCACTTGAGTAGTCAAATAATTTAGATTACTTCAATAAACAGAACTTAATTAGTTTCTTTCCTAGGAAACTGAGTTTTCTCATGCCAATTTTCCTGAAGCGCATTGCATTGCAGTGATAAACTATAA